AGGAAGGAAGAAAGAAAGAAAGAAAGAAAGAAAGAAAGAAAGAAAGAAAGAAAGAAAGAAAGAAAGAAAGAAAGAAAGAAAGAAAGAAAGAAAATTTTCTTCTAGAATGTAATTTTCGTTTTATGTAGTATTTTATTTTATTTTATTTTATTTTTGATTTTTCGAGACAGGGTTTCTCTGCGTAGCTTTGCGCCTTTCCTGGAGCTCACTTGGTAGCCCAGGCTGGGCTCGAACTCACAGAGATCCGCCTGGCTTTGCCTCCCGAGTGCTGGGATTAAAGGCGTGTGCCACCACCGCCCGGCCCTGTAGTATTTTATTTTTTGAGTTGGGGTCTTGCTATATAGCTCAGGCTGGCCTCAAAATCACTGCCCTCCCCACCTCCAGAGTGCTGGAATTACACATATGTATTTCCACACCTATTCCAGGTCAGAAATTTATTTTTAAAATATGCTTTGGATCAGCCTAAGGGAGAGAAAAGAAAGAATAGCATGTGAACTCCAGGAGAAGGCTACGCTTGGTGTCATGGTCTGTTTCTGGTTTTGTCTCTCCATGGGTGAGAGCTGAGGGTGCGTGGGAGCAGGCATCTCTTTGGCTCTGAAGCACCTGATACCCCTAAAGATCCACATTAGAATCATTAGAGAATCCCTGGACTCTCAGAAAACAAACAAGTGTCTGCAGAGTTCTCGCTTCAAGTTGGCAGCAGAGCTAGAACAAAAAACTCCCTGTCCCCAGCCCAAAGGAAACTTTGTCTTCCCACACCTAGTGGTTCAACCTCTGTCCAAACTGGAGGCTGGACTGTCTGCCTGGGAACCTCTGGAATGAGCTAGCACTCAGACCTGGAGCCCCTGGCAGGGGCAGGGGTGTTTGTGAAGGCCTAATCAGGACAGTTTATACAAAGTGCCCCACATAGGTAGATAGTGAACCGGGTGATGCCAATCACTCCCCGGCTCCGAGAATTCAAGTGGCCTGGGTATTGGCATGGTGTCCTCCCCCCCCCCCCCCCCGGACTGAGAACTCCTGTCCCTTTTAGAGAGGAGAAAGGTGACAGAGTCCGGCAAGCATCACTGGAGTCATGCTTTGTTCCTATCCCCAAGGAGTGAAAAGAGAAGAGCAGACCTGCGGAGAAGGCAAGCGCAGACCCTCAAGACAGCGGCCCCACCACATCCCCGCCCTCACCTGTTGATGGAGCTGACGCTGGGCACCGTGTCGTTATCACACACCCGCTCTGCCAACAGCCGGTCCCTGATCTCCCAGGCAAACATGGTCGGATTTTGGCGTTTATACTCAGCGATTTTTTCCACCACTTTGGGAGTGGCAACCTTTGGTTTGGATCCTCCAATCACCCCCGGTTTGATGCTTCCTGTCTCATAATACCTAGACCGGAGAAGACAGGGCCGTAGTTAGACACAGGAGCCGCAAAGTGGAAAGTGCGAGTCAAGGTGTGCTGAAAATGTAAACAGTGAATCGGATTTTTAAACGTAGTAAAAAAGCTATTAAATAGATGGATAATTTTTTAAATCTTATTTCTTAAAATATCGTATTTTGTGTACATGCGTGTCTCCGTGTATGCATGTGTGTGCCAAGCTCAGAAAACAACATTCAGGAGTCAGTTCTCTCCTTCCATCATGGAATCCCAGGGATTGAACCCGAGCCATCAGGCTTGGCAGCAAGCGCCTTTATCCAGAGCTGTCTGGCCAGCCCACTAATAATTTTTATGTCGGTTATATGTTGAAATGGCAATCTGTATCCATTGGGTTAAATAAAATTCATAGTTAAAATAAATTATACTACTTTCCTTTCACTTAATGTTCTATGAGAAAACTTCAAATTGCTCACATGGCTCGTATTATACTTTATAATATAATTATAAAATACATATATTATATTGGACAATGCTAGCAGCAAGCTACATATTAGCAAAATGCCTTCACATTCATCCACCATTTTACAGATTATAAAAACGTTGCGAGTTAGATTTTCCTCTTGGTTCTCTAACAGCTCTAAAGTACATAAACTGTCTTAGGTGAACGAGTAAGTGACGGGACAGTTAGGTGAAGTGGCCTTCTATGATATTAAACACAGCTTTATTCAGGTTAAATGTTTTCCTTGGGGTCACAGAGGACCCCAAGGTACCTAGCCAGGACCCTGGACAAGGCTCCTGAACTGAAATTCCCGTGGAGAGTCGGTACAGACCTTCAGTGTACTGGCTTCCCCCCGGCCCCCAGCACTGCAGCATTCTCTGAAGCTGTCCCTATACGACAGCTTTTTCTCCAACAGAGAAAAACAATAACCCTGACGTAAAATTAAAGGGAGTGTTGGATTCCAGCGCTAATGGGAAATATGTATTAGAGATCAAATCCTGAGTAATCAGAAAAACCAACCACGATTCTCGACAGTTCTTCCAGAGGCCTCCCCTGAGGTAAATGGCTGTTTCTAAGGACATTTCCATGCTATCAGCTTTTCCTCGTTAACGCAAATAGGATGTCAGGGTTTCACAGCAAAACCGAGACCAGGGAGAAGAGTGACATGGAAGAGCGTTTCGGGGGAGGAGAAAGGGACTTGGTTCTTTCTCTGAATCCTAGATGTCACTGGATGTCTTTCTCAGTGTTTACGGAGAATTTCTGATCCCCTCTTCCAAAGAAGATTATCTTGTGGTTGAAAAAAATGTTAAATCAAAAGACATTTTAGACATGATATGTTTTAAACCTAGAATATTTATAAGAAGTAAGGGAATGCTGGGAATGTTGGCACACATCTGTATTCCTAGAACTTGTGAAGTGGAGGCAGGAGCATAAGGAATTTCAAGGAGGAGACTTGGCTAGATGCATGGAGAGAGAGAGAGAGAGAGAGAGAGAGAGAGAGAGAGAGAGAGAGAGAGAGAGAGAGAAGGAGAAGGAGAAGGAGAAGGAGAAGGAGAAGGAGAAGGAGAAGAAGAAGAAGAAGGAAAAGAAGAGGGGGGAGGAAGAGGGAGAGGAAAAAGGAGGAAGGGAATGAGGTGATTCTACTGGATGGATGGAACTACGACCCACAAGCAATGATGGAAGATTTGTAAGGTTGCTGAAACTCTAGCTTGGATGCGTCTGTTTAGGGCCAAGTAAGTAAATATTCTAGAAGTGAAGAAATAGTTCTATTTTTCATTGAGAAGAGTGACTCATTTAAAATTTTTAACCATAAAACAAAATCCAACCTATCTTCTCTTTTCATAAAATCATTGGAAGCAATTTTCTAAAAAAAAGTTTTTAATCACAAAAGGGTTTAATGGATACCTATGAAAATTTATTTTCTGATAGAAAGTAGAAATCACCTAAATTCTAGCACACAGCAACTCCTGAAGACTCTACAGTCCTGTCAACTTCTCAAGAGAAAGCCAATTATTTTTTAAACTTATTTATTTTTATTTATGAGCATTGGTATTTTGTCTGAATATAAGTCTGTGTGAGGGTGTCAGACCCCCTGGAACTGGAATTACAGACAGGTGTGAGCTGCCGTGTGGGTGCTGGTTATTGAAACCCAGTCCTCGGGAAGAGCAGCCAGTGTCCCTAACCACTTAGCAATCTTTCCAGCCCTGAGAAAGCCGATTATTTACTATCTCATAACAACTCATTATCTGGGCACAACACTCTAGAGTTTACGGAGTTCTTCAAATTACCACGATCCTTACACATCTTTTGATGTCAGCAGGATTTTACAGAAGAGAAAATAAATGACTGGAGGACTAAGGCACTTGCCCAACTCCTCTGGTTACAGAGACAGCCCAGATTTCAAAGCAGACTTTGAATCCAGTGCTTTTCTCATCACTACAAGTTTCTGCTTTGATGATAACGTTTTAAGTATTAGTAGCTGCAGTTCTTACAATTATAGAGAGCTTTACTGTTTGCAAGGTCTTTTCTCAAGCATCTATCACTCATTCCATGAACCAAGAGCCGCTGGGTCCTCTTAGGGCAAGGACAGTCTCGAGATAGGGCTTGCAGATATGCAGACTACATGTGTTCTTAAAATACATGACTCTAATGGAACGACAGTGACCACACAGAAAGTCACCAGGCAGCAGAATAAAGCCCCCTGCTTACATGGCTGGTATGTGGCAGCCCAGGGCTCCCTGCTCACCCTACTCGAGCAGTGCCAACTGTGGAATTCCGAAGTCTGGACATCCCAGGTCTCTGTCTTGCATTTGACGGACTCGTGGGCCAGGCTCTTAGAAGGCAACACAGACACTCCCGAAAGCCCAACTCAAGACTGTGTCAAGTGAGGATTCAGACTTAATAACCACCCTTTCATCTCAGCAAAACAGCCGTGCAGTCCTTTGGCTCGCAGACAAAAGATGAACGGCAGCCACCAGCCCGGTGCCCCTCAGTGCAAAGAAAGCAAAGAGCGTTAGGCTGCGAGTCAAGAGGTGCCATGCCTGCCGCCGCTCTGACACCAAACAGCTGTGTGATCTTGACCACACAGCCTTCCTCGGCCTCAGTTACCCCATTTCTGTAATAGGGGAGAATATCTGCCATGCCTCCTTTGCAGAGATATTATAACAACAGGAATACAGAATGACCGTGAAAAGATTTTACAAAAAAATTAAAGAGAATTTGCATAAAGTAGAGTGCGCAGTTGGGGATTAAATCCCCACTGTTTTATTTTTATCTTGTGATATGCCACCAAAATTTCAAATGACCTGACATTCCCAATGAGAGGAGACGCCAGCCCTGCTCTGTGATCTGACTTGGCCTTCATGTGATGCTCAGTTCCTCTATAGCCTTGAATTCTAGACTGGATGTCCACACTGCTGTCAGCCCACATACCTTCTTGGAGGGACAGGGATCCTTGCCTGTTCCCAAGGACTTCACCTGCCTTGCTACACAGCCTTTGAAAACTGTAGCCACCACACACCAAGCACTCTACAATCTGTCACCCAATGAGCACCCATCAAATTCTTCTAGGGGGTGGGGGGCAGCCTGTGGGTCAAATAGGCCGAGTTCAGAAATTCCCAGTCACACCGTTTTAGGGCTGAACTTGTTTCTTAAAAAGCAGTTCTAATTAGAGTGACATTTTGTCCACTGTGGTTCTTAGTTATGAAAATAATGAGCTATGAAATTCCAATTTATTGTTGACAACTTAAACGGCCAGGCACCGGAGCGGCGCATAACTTCCGAGTGCCACTCTGCCCAGTGACAAATCTATTCTGGTCCACGGGAGTCTGCTGGCCTAACTTGAGAAGGACCCCTGTCCACCTCAATCTTCACGGGAGAGGTAAGGGCCCTGGGGCTCTAAAACACGAGATTCAGTCATTTGGATGTCTGAGAAAGGCTCTCACTATCTTCAAATTCTCAAACAGCGAACAAAATGTCAGCTCAGCAAGGATGTCTCAGTAAAAACAAAGGAAGGGCCTCCCCTTCCCTCTCCCCCGCTTACAAAGAAGCACCACATGAAGACGGTGGCGACCATTCAGCTCCAAAAGTGAGACTGGCTACTCTGAAACGGCTTCCCCTCACCCTCTTGTCTTGTACAGTGTCTATTCTGTCTTTGAAAACCAACCATTCCTCCCCCTTTGTCTTCTCTCTTCGTCCCGTCTCCCCGAAGCCCACTTCCTTTTGTCGTCCTCACTCTCAGCTTCCCCTGACCCACCGTCTAACATGGCCACCAGGCTGATTTCCCCTGCTTCTGAACTCCGGCTGGACTCATTTGCTGGCTGAGTGTTAGGCAGAAGTGGATTGAGCCCTCGTCCTCCACAGCTGATGTGACCCACGCTAGGCAGGAAGATGAAGAGTAGACACGGGCATAGGTAGCCCTAACAGACTGCCAGATTCCCATCCCTGAGATGCCTTCCTTTGGTCTTAATCAAGATCCCCTACGTGGTTATTCAACACTGTTGGGAGGATTTTTAAATCCCAGCAGATGGAACAAGAAGAGCAGAAAGTCATGATGTCACTGAGAAAACTTCAAAAATACTTCAAAATGTTCACCACTGTCAGTCAGGTATCAGTTGTTAAACCATAAGGCAATCTACAGGACAAAGACGAGGACCACTGACCTCAGGAAGAGAAATAGTAAGAAAGCCCTGAAGAGCTGAGAATGTTCCTGTCTGCCAGGGAAGACCTAGAACAATGTCACATGCCCAGGACATTAAATATATATACATATACATATATATATATACATATACATATATATATATATACACCAATGTTTGGGGGTTATGGAGAGAGACAGGGCCCCAGAGTCATTTAGGACCCAGTCCAGCCCAAGTGCTGACTTGGCCAGACATGCCTATGCCAGTCAGTTAGCTCTAGAAAAGGCTTATTTTATTTCCTCGTCTTAAAACCTTCCCTGGATCATGCTGAGGCTGGTGAAAAAAATAAGCGTAAGGCTACCAGTCTGCACAGCCCTTGGAGAGGACTGTCATTGTGAGTAGTATTTTGCTTGCAGCAAATTGCTGGGTCAAGTGGCAACTTTGAAACGTCAGATTTGAGAGTTAGTGCTTGCTGCTGCTTGTTTTCCTCCCTCTAATTTAACGTGTGCTTAGGATGCCTGTCACTACAAAAGGGACACAACACCCAGGAGGAGACACTACAGCCAGCATGGGCAGGCTGAGGGTACCACTGGAGATGGCGGCTGGCTTTTAAATACCAAGTGCTACTTGAAAACATCTAAAAGAAAACACTGAGGGCTGGTGATATAGCTCAGTGGTGGACAATCACTTAACACCCACACAGCCCTGCACCAAAAGAGAAAAAGAAAAATAAGAAGAAATACAATAATCTCTGGGTCCCCCCGACACACACCAGCCATTCCCTTGACCCCAAGCTCACCTAAGAGGTTTGGGGACAATTCCCAAGAGCCTCTGACTTTTGAGTTCTTTAAAATAAAGAACCAGACTTTTGAGAAACACATTGTTCCTCCCGACAAAGTCGCCCTATTCCACGTGACACTGGAAACAGGGGGTTCCACAGCTACTTTGAATAGGACGATCTCAAAACACTTTGCAACCTCTCAAGTGCGGAGTGTGTGGAGCAAAATGCTGCTGCCGTAAGGCTCCCTGTGACACTGGCACCTTGAACAGCTGTGGGCTGTCTTTTAGATCTTTCTTTAAAACATTGAGGGAAGCCTGGAGCCCATGCCTTTACCTGCCAAGAATTTTGCTGACACAACCATGGCTGACCCGAAGCTGCCTGGAGATGTCGCAGGGCCTGACACCTTGATGGGCAAGTTCCACTATCCTTTGGCGGACTACATCTGGGAGTGGCCGTCCATTCACAAAAACCCCCCCGAGCTGATTCACTCCTCCATGTCCTGAAACAGATCAGAAACAAAAGGCAAGGGGAAGGGTGGTTAGAAGCGGTTACATAGAAGTGCCCTTGTGAGCACCCAGAGCCCCTCTGGTTACAAATGGCTGGCAGGCTAGAGGTCTTGCACCTGGAGTCCAATCATGCAGATGACATGAGGACCCTGGGCTGCTTTTTAACACCAGTCTTAGCTTTTGTCCATCTGCAGGCCATCAACTGAGCCACTGATCGCTCCCCACACTGGTTTTCTTTTAGTTGCTAGCATTTTCCTCTTCGTTTGGGGGAATCGGTAAGGGAATGTGTAAAAGAAATCTATATGAAAGGAGCATGATTTACTACACAATGCTGAATCTGAGGAAGATCCTGGGGAGAAAATTATGTCTTAAAATAATCAAATTTAAGGAGGAAGAAAATTAGTGGAATTCGTTTTCTTGTAACAAATGTCTTCAAAAGTGAAACGGGTTCTTCTAATATCTACATCTCAAGGGGAAAAGTGTTTTTTAAATCAGCAATCTAATTCAAAGAACTAAAGACTTTCTTTTTAATGACCAGCATTTTCAGATCACTGAGACAAAACCTAACCGCTGCCTTAATTTAAAAATAGAAAAAAAAATTAAAGCCTTCCTTTAAGACGATGAGGTTGATGTGCAGGCTTGACCATTGTACCCTCTCAGAGCACACAAAAGAAATGGGTCACAGGGTCTTCTGCACACAGCACACTCCACTGAATCAGGATTTGTTAGGTGTGCCCCTGAAATTTTGGGCATGTTTTGCAATCTGCAAACAGGTTTAAGTTGGTTAGGAGGAAATAAGAAAACTCCCGAGTACCAGATTTTTACGAGTGCCATGACATGTATTTTAAGTAAAAGGAGTCAGAGAAAGTGCCCCTTCCGCTCTGATACTCGGCAATGGTAATCACCGCCCAGCTGAAGGGAAACAGGACCTGAGCAAACTAAAGAGCCAGGCCAGGAAACAGACTGATACAATGTAGCAACACCATTGGACCTAGAACTGCGAGCAGTCTCTAACTGGCATTGCTGAGGATTGGAGCTAAAGTCAAGTAAGAGAATGTATTGATGCTCCTGACAGCTCAGAGGCCCAGGAGGGGAAACCTGGGACAGACTGGGCTCCAGAAGGGAAGTCGAGGCACCTCCAAGGTCACACCTTCCAACTTTAAAACAGAAACATAGCCACCACAGCTTGGCCACCACCACCCCATCCTAGTCCAAGACTTAGCTACAACCAGGCCCATGGACAACATCTGAAATTGAGGGATAAAACACTCCTAAAAACAGCCTTTATCCTTAAAAGTATCTAACAAATTCACATATTACTTCCCAAAATCTCCAGGTTCAGGTTATGTCCAAGAAAACCATAATTTTTTAGGTAATTACATTACTTAGTCCCAAACTATGCTGAAATTTCCTCTGATTTTCAAAATGTGCCTTTAAGTAATTTTGATTGTTCTGAAACACTGCACACAGGAGCAGAAAAAAAAACAGAGGGAAAATTTTCCTGAACAGGGTTTTACAGCTAGGGACATAATTGCATAGTTTCCCTAAAACAAAAAGATTACAGTAACCCTGATCAAGAGCTTTGTTCTAAGACAGAGATCATCTAAGGGGGGAAAAAGAGTTGAACCAATTTTCCCAGAACAGGCTGGATTTAAGTAAAACAAAGTATATCCAAAATTGGTGTGTGCTGATTGGGGGAACAAATGTCAGGAAAGGGCAGGGGAAAGACCCAGAACACTTTTGATATGATCTAATGTAGCCAACCTGCAATTATTGTTTGCTATACCACTAACAATGGAAACTTCCAGCTCAAAACACAGTGGCAACCTTCAAAGAACGTCAATGCCAAGAGCAATTCTGTAAGGGAACTCATAGGTTTGTACCATCGAGGGGAAAAAAAATGCCAAGAGTCTCCTAGAGTCGGGTCTCCCTAAATCACAGCAGATCTCCCCCCCCCCCCAGACTACCTCCTTTTGACCACAAGGCTAAGATACTAAGGAATTTGCAGACTCCAAGGCCAGTGTCCACAGCTGACACAGACTTGGCGCAGGTGACTCTTACTTTTCTTAACTTTCTGGACAGGCCCCCAGATCCCTTGGTCCTCTTGTCTCATTCATGATTCTACCCAACAGAGCACTTTATCACAAGCCTCAGGAAAGGAACTAATCTGGGACTGACAAGATGGGAAGTCCAAAGTCTGAAGGAGAGTGGAAGTGAGACAGGGAAGGAGAGCTATGTGCAAAGGATAGAGATGCTGTTGACTCTCTATTCTCTCTATACCATAGAGAGGAAGGGCGGAATGAGACAGATAGCAAGGAAGGGAGGGCTAGAGAGGACACAGAGTCTTAGGCAGGCAGAGGAGGGGGAAAAGTCTAAACAGATTAACAAATGGAAGGGATCTCTAGGAGACAGATCTCAATGGGTGGGGGTCTGTTTCCTCTCCCTCCATCTCAGGTCTTGCTCCAGCTCTGCATCTCCTACAAGACTCAAGTCCCAATTTCTACTGTGGATTCCAGCAAGGTGAGGGCTCATCTGCCAGGAGGGCACTGGGCTGAGACATGAACTCAGCTATCATTCCTAAGGGGTGCAGAATTTAGAAACTGGCACAGAAACGGACACAAACAAATTAGATAAAAACTGGGGAACACAGATACAGCAAAAATAGAATGGCCCCATCTGGAAGAGCAGGGTTTGAAGGCTGATTGAACGATGGAATTGTGGGTGACCCTAGGACCTTTGTGTCTCTGCTCTGGAAGGAACTGGCTTCTGTAGATGCTCCTCAGACCTTGTTAGGGACATATTGCGCACAAAGGACACTGCCCACACCCCAAAACTATGGCTAGGCACAGATAATTAAGGAGATGTCTGCTGCTAGCTGAAGGTTGAACTACAAGAGGCTGGATCATTGAAATTCTTCCTAAATGCACCAAAGCAGGAGGAAGGGGCACACATAGACATGCAAACAGGATCACAGAGAGTGGACAGCCAGGTGCTGACACACCTAACAGTCATGCTGTGAATACAGACGTAGTTGGACTACACAGAGGTAGAGCCTTGCATGTGTATACACTCCAACAGTCCACTGACCTCTCTGGTATAAATCCTTCCCTTACCCCTCTCCATTAATTCTCCAAAGCCTAACAGTATGCCTCTGTTCCCAAAAACCAGTGACAGCTGATTTCTGTCAGTTCTTTTATCTCTCTAGCCTCAGTATCATATTCTGTAAAATGGAGGTAACTGAGGGTTTGGGTCACACTCAGGTGTGACACTGGCCACAGAAGTACTTTGTAACTAACTGGTAAAATGCTCGGGGGAAGGAAGCATGTAGCAGAGAGTCATTGTACCAGTGTGCTTGAGGGAAGTTGAGCAGGGTGTGGGGCACCTCTGAACTCAGAAAGCCCACGATACAGCAGTGCCTGTCCCTGCCAACTGAAGCTGTCCAGTGCAGAATTGGTTGGGGGTGGGGTGGGGGAAGAAGGGAGGCCACAAGGAAAAACTGACCCGAGCCAGAAATAAAGATGAAGGGAAAGACCCGGCCACTTTGCAGAGCCTGTTTTCTCTGCCCCCATCACCAGCAAATTGGGACCCAGAGACCGACTACATTGTGCAAGCAAACAGCGTTGGGCATGAGAGCTGAGGGTCTTTCTGGAGAAGCCAAGGGCTTCCTCTAGCTCTGGAAGCTAGGCTGGCCCAGCCCCCACTGGGCTGCCAGGGAGATTGAGAATGGGAGGAGGGAGCACTTCCCGAGGAGGGGGCAGATTGAAGGCCCGGCAGCAAGGCTTAGACATTAGCAGTTGGTTAACCAGCACCTGGAAGGAGCTGCTTCTCCACACGGATGCGCACCGGGAGACCACCAAGTCTGATGCTGTCTCCCCAAGGGCTTGGGCATGACCTCTGGGCAGCAGAACTCTGGACAGAGAGAGGCAGTGCGGGCCTTTGGATTTCCGCCAGGAAGGAAGGAAGCACGGGAGCCAGACCAACCCATCTTGTCTCCCAGTTGCTTGTTGGCTGAGCCAACGCTTGCCCGCCTCTCAGAGTGTTGCCCCCAACTCGTTTGTTTTCAGGTTCTCTCTGAGTAAGAGCAGAGAGGCTCCAGAGCCAGTTTGGGCAGGAAAATGCTGTGGAAGACGCTGGAGCCGAGGTGGACTGGAAGCCGCTTAAACCCAGTCCCCAAATGGGGAGGAATCGTTGGGGCTGGGACCAGAGCAAGCCGCTTCACTGTGCGAATCTTTTTGCCGCTGGGGAGGATTACCTCCGACTGGGATGTTGACACAAAGAGAAGCTGACCTGCTCGCAGCCCGCTTCCGCTGCCTAAACAAACCTTCCCCTGCCGCCAGGCCACTGGGCCCTTCGTGGAAGACACGAAGATTCTTGCCCCAGCTTGCCTTCTCTCTAGCGGGGTGTCTGCTTGCTGCCTTTGTTAAATAGGGGACCCACGGCTAGAGTAGCGGGATCCCGGCTGGTTGAGGTTAAGCGAGCTTGGAGCCGGCTGCCAGCCACGGAGTTATTCGGCGATATGCAGTCCACAGAGACCCGAGCTGGGCACCCGAGTGCAGTCTGCCAAAGCCTGGCGCCTTCCCCTGGCCGATTCTACAGCCAACAGAAGGGAAACGCGATTCGTTCCACTTGGAATTTCCTTGAAATCTCCGAATCTAATCCAGCGTTAACTCACCGTGAGAAGAGCGCTCATCTCACAGGAGGCTGTGTTAATGGGTGAACTGGCAGAATCCCTGCGGGTCAGGCAGCAGGGCCCTGCCGGTGCCCGAAATGACCCTGCCGGTCTCCTATGCCGCACAGGCTTTCAGAAGGCAGGCGCGCCTGCATGTGACTAATTAGCTTTCTTTCTTTCTTTCTTTCTTTCTTTCTTTCTTTCTTTCTTTCTTTCTTTCTTTCTTTCTTTCTTTTTTTCTTTCTTTCTCTCTCCTCTCTTTTTCTTTCTAGGAGAGAAGCCACCTCAAGGCAGGCACCCTACAGAGAATGACTCAATGGTGTCTTTAAAGGTCTCTGTCTGTACTGGCCGATGCCTGAACTCAAGCGTAGCTTAGGGACCCGGACTTCGTTTATTATTATTATTTTTTTAAATCCCCTCTCCTCGACCCAGGATGCCTTTGGAACCCTGGACCAGGTGTACTTTCTTAACGCTCACGTCTTTTCTTCACACATACAGGGACTGATCGGGGTCCCACTTTTCATTCTAAGCATCAGTCTTGGTCAGTCCCATGGCTGAAAGGGGCACCAACAGAGTTGGGGTTTGGGGCGCTGTCTGAGACTCTCACTGACCTCTGCTAAAACTTCCTGCCTTCCAACTGGCCCAATTTCGAACCGTCTATGAGTATGAACCAGGGTTCTGAGAATTAGCTGCTGGAGACCCGGAAAGGCTGCAGCTCGCTGCCTACACTACTATCTCGTTGCTGGAGACGGGATTTACCGACCAGGCGCTTCGGCCTTAGCGGCTAAATGCGTTCCGCGTCTGCTGCCTGAAAGCCCTGCACTTTGCAAAGTTGTCTTCGCAGCTACAGAGGTCCCGAGCTCTCCAGAACTTAGTACGTGCCCCGCAGTCCGGCACCCCCAACCCGACCCCGGCCGGAGAGTGAGAGAAGCGAGCTCGCCGCCTACTTACTATGCATGGATGCAAACGGGTCGTGCTTACAGTGTATTTCCATCGGGGCGCTCCAGACTGCAGGTCGGCCCGCGCCGCTGCCTCTCGGCGCCAAAGGGCTGCTCAGAGAGCCTAGGGAGCCGCGCCACCAGGCCAGGCACCGTGTGAGCTGGGCTCAGAAAACACCTCTGCAGCCGTGGGGTCCCTCTCCAAGCCTCCTGCGGAAGATCACGGAGAGCTGAGCCGAGAGGCGGGAAACAGTGTTCAGCCAGTCGGGGGTCTGGGAGCGGGCGCCCAACTCCTCCAGCTGCCTTTGCTCCTCGGCGGGCTCAAGCGGCGGCTCCCGGCCCACACCCGAGAAGCTGAGGCCCAGGCGCCCGCAGCGTCGAGGGCATAGCGCAGGGGCCCACCTCCGGGATAACTAGGGGCGCTCGGCGCCGGAGCAGAAGCTTGCAAGAGGCCGCGAGCACACGGCCCTTCGTCTCACTCTGGGGGCAGCGAGGCCCCGCGGGCTGCCAGGCTGCTTCGGTCTTGCTGCTACGAGGGTCTGTCCACCCCTCGGCCTCCGCCAGATCCTTCCTGTCTCCCGCTGCTCCGTGTCTCTGGGGCTGGACGTGCCCCTCCACCTCTCTCCCGCCGGCTCTCCGACGTCTCCAACGAAGTTGCAGAGAACTCCTTCTCCCGCCGCGCAGGGACGGCGGCGGACTCTGAGACGCTACAGCTGCTGAGGCTGGGAGCCCCGGAGCGCCCCGGAACTGCAGCCCTCGAAGACCGGGACCCGCCGCCTTTAAAGTTCCCGCGGGCCTCGAGGCTCCGGGCCCCTTCGCTCCTGGTTGTGCCTCACGCTACCAACTCTTGGAGATCCGCTGCCCGCTCTCGGGGGTCCGGGTGGGACTGTCCCCGGCTTGCCTCTTCCGGGACAGCCGCCGCGTCTGCCCAGCGGTGAGCGAGGGGCGCAGGAGAGGATGCAGGTCCCTGCCGCCGGGGCTGCTGGGGCCGCCAGGGCTGTCGGTGCTGAGATGAAGCCCCTGCCGGCTCGAATGCCCGCGCTGCTGCCGCCGCCGCCGGCGCTAGCCCTCCGCCTGCTCGGCGCGCACAGTGCGCCACCGCGCCGCCCCGGAGCCGCTTTCAGGACCCGCTGCGTGTGGACAGCGCCGCCCGGGGCTCAGCCTCCCTCCGGGCGGGGGCGGGGCGGGAGCTCACCTGCCAATCACGCCTCATCAAGCCAATCAGAACGGGGACATCCGGCCCTAGCCCGAAATACTGTCCTATTGGCTAAGCAACCCACGGGCTCCGCCTGATTAGCCGGTACCTGGGCAATGGGAGAGAATGGGGGGCGGGGCCCAAGCGGCGGCGCCACGTTCATTGACAAACGCGTGGGGAGAAGGCCTAGTGGATCGCGGAAGGAAAAGGGGGAGAGAGAGGACAGGGCCCACGCAGCGTCTGGAGAGCCCGGCTCTTGGTCCCACAGAGCCAAACTTTCTGCCGGCCGTTGGGATTCTGGGATGCGCTTAGAGACTGGGGGCAACCAAGACAGGGTGGGGACTGTGAGCGAAGTCTCCAGAAGGAAAAAAAGAAAGAAAAACACCCACAGATGTTGGAGGAACAAGTGCAGTGTCGTAGAGATTCGGCTTTCAGTCTAGGTGGCTGATTTACGAGTGTATGCCTGTCGCTTCAGACTCACTTTGCACCTCTGTAAAAGGGGCAGAGTTTAGTGAAGGGGTCTTTGATGCTGGTTCCTTCCAATGGAAACATTTCCTAATTTTATCAAGAATCTACTAAGCGACGGCCGTCTCCTCTGTATCCTCCCTTCTCATTCTATCCACAGAGGCCCCAGTGCTGCATTAACCAAAGGCAGAGTTGGGGGAATATTACTTTAAGGTTACCAGAAATTGAGGAGTCTCTAAAGCTTGGACCAGATTGTCTCAAGCAACAGAGCCATAGATCCGTTTTGCAATTCTCAGCCTAGGAGCTGATAGGTCCCTTGGGAGCTGGTGATACTCTTAGCTCAAAGCTTCTGTCAACAAGAGGATTTCCGCATCTGGTGCAAGGCCTCCTTTGAAACGGAAGGCGTCCGCTGGCATCCAGAGCTAATGAGAGCACCTGCACCTGAAGCCAGCGGCTGTGTGGTTGCCTCTATTTAAAAGAGCCTGTGGCGCCAACATGGTTACAAACGCTGCAGTTCCCAGCTGCCAGGAAAAGCTGACTTTCCCCCACCAGAGTACCTGTAGATTTTAGGACAAAATGGACAGACTTCTAGTGGAATTCTCCTGATGCAGCAAAGTTCTTTAACCAGACCATCTCAGTTTCCCGGGAGTGTAAAGCTCTCAGACCGCAGTCAAAGCAACTGGACGTTTTAAAAAATGAAGTGTCTTCACCCAAGCAGCTATAGTTCTGTGACCCCTCTAGTGTGCTAAGATCCGACCCGACCACTGCCCACACAACTGAGCATCCCACTGCCCCAGTGGTTGTGGTAGTAAACTAAACACTCACCCCTTTGAATCATAAGTGATGATCCTCTGATATAAAACATAAATCCGTCAGAATAAGAACACTGAGATGTCTGCTTCAGTGATAGCTCAGAGGGGACAGAACTCAGGCAGATTTCTAGAGGACCCTCAGTCCATTTTCTCTATTTACTTCCTGCCTGAAATTTTCCTCAGTTTCCACTTTTTCCCCTCTTGCCCCACTTCTAACATTTCTATACTAGGTCAATCCTTGGGTCCACTCCTCTAAAGCTGTCTTGATCGAAGCTGCCCAGGACAAGCAGGCAAGTTTCCCCTGGCTCACACCATCCCCACCCCCACTAGGGCACAGCTGCAGGAAAACGGCCGGCCGGCGGAGAAAGACCGGTCTCTGGGGACTCAGAAGGTTGTGGTGTACAAGGTGGTGGGGTGGTAGCTTTCTCTCTCCATTGTCTGGAACCCCTCCCAGTCCTGACCTCTGCCCCCCGCCCCACATCACCTCTGCTTTAGAGCAGGAAGGTTACAAGAAGAAAATGGTTCTGGTGGCATGGGGTTCCATGGGCTTTATCCTATTCAGTTCCAAGACAGTTATGGGACTCCTAATTCCCACCAGCAAGTTCAAGATTTGGGGCTGATCTAGAGAAGCAGTCAATGGTACCTCATGCTCCTAATCATGCTCCTTGAGCTTCCAAACCCAGATCTAGGATCTTAAAACTAAAAGGGTTCTGGGGCAGTGTTTTCCCCATTTTACAGATGTGGAACCTGAGGGCAGGAGGGAGGATATAATTTGTCTGAGGTCATACTGGAGCAAGTCTGGAATAGAAGGAAGACTGGAGGCTGGAAGGGAAGGTGCCATCAAGCCAAAGAATTCATCTGGATGACCTCTGAAGGAGTCACTTGTCCTGTGTTGTTTGCACAGAATCCCTAGGGCGCTCTGAGGGCAGGGTGAAACTGCAGAGACCATTCCAAGAGGAACGGCCTGGATTCCCCCTTTCACACAGTGGTGTTGTTCAGCTTCGGATATGTTCTCCTCTGTAGGACTCAGCCTAATCAATGGAGGAAGGGAGCCCCTCCCTATACTTAGTGATCCTGGGCCAGAGGAAATTTCCTTCTGAGTGATTTTTCTTGTCACTCCTGGAGTGCCTGAGCTCTGAGAACTTCAAATCCCCAAAGAAGTGAAGAGTCCTGATATGACCACCCAGTCCATCCTTACAAGCGGCCAAACAGTGGCACAGAGAGGTTAAATGACCACTCTGAGATCACACAGCTATTCCTTAACAGAGCTGTGCTTCCATGCCTCACTCTTGCCTTCATCTGCAGCCTGGGTCCAGGAAGAGCTAGACAGAGGGCACAGACCTGTGAAACAAAACCACCATGGGGGGGGGTGGCAAACCAAAACAAACAAAAATGCACAACTTATTTCAATTGAATTGCTGTGGAAAGGTTTGCCTGTTGGAAGAGTGGCCATTTTGAGAATGTTTCAGAAGCCAGAACACCTTTGGAGAGAGGACATCTCTCTCTCTCTCTCTCTCTCTCTCTCTCTCTCTCTCTCTCTCTCTCTCTCTCTCTGCACTTGGAGACTTTACTTGATGGGGCACACACCACCGCCACCCCATCCCCACTTCCTCTTCCCCAGCTCCCCAACATTCCCTCCAGCTTACAGAAGAGCCAGGCTCTCAGCACGCTGGTGCTGCCATGGAGTTCTGGCCTGGGGTTCACTCTTGCAGTCCAATTCCAGCCCATTTGCCTGCTCTTTCTTTCAATAAAGCAAGGTCTTTCAAGATTCAGACTGGTTGCTCAGTTGGGAAGGATCGGAGATGCCTGGGCACTGCCGTTCTAACCTGATGGGTTCTTTTAAACCTTTAATTTGAAAAAGTATCAAAGAGGAAAAGCAACCGGTCTGTGATTGCACAGCAAACGGGCCATAGAGATGCCTGTCTGGTTCCTGAGAGTGCATCAAGAATCTGCCCTACTTGGCTTGGGTTATGTTGCAGGCAGCATCCCTGGGAAGGAGAGTCTTAAACCAAGTCTTTCAAGAAGTGCAGACCTCCTGTGCTGGGGCTCAGTACCCCAACCAGCCTGCCCTTGCAGATCTGGAGTACCTGGACAAAGTCTCTCCCCTAAGACTTAAGACTTAGCAGTCCTTTCTCCCAAGACCTCAGCTTCTTGTGCCTGGAACACAGAGATGAACCTCTGGGATGTCTCCTGGAGCCTTTGGAGATGCTGTCCCATTCACTGGAAGTGCTATTCTCCCTACTTCTACATCTAGTCCTGTTCGATGTGCATCCTCAGTTCCTGCCCTCTGTGTCTCCTCTTTTCCCAGGAAGGGAGAAACTGCTTAAGTGGTTCTCTGCTGGGTGCTGGCCTTGCTCAGTATTGGGCTTTGAGCTCTAAAGACACTGCAGCTGGGAAAGCTGAGCTTGGAGAAGGAATACTGTATAATTCTGGAGGAAGGAAAGAACAGTTTGGTGGCCCATGAAAGGCTTAGAAGTTGAGGGCAGAAAGTAGACCAAGGTAGCCTTTGAGTACCTGGACAGCCCCTCAGTCCTCTCCCTCCTCTTCCCTAGGCTGGGCCTCAGGACTTGGAAGACCGGCAGAAGGGTACTCTCACCTGAGCTGCTGATCCTTCCCAAGCAGGTGGCCTTGACCCTAACCCATCATCGAGGGGTGTGGCTCTTAGGATTTGAAGCTCCAAACCCCCCTAGAATTCCCCCTACACAAACCCCACCCAGTCTGACCGCACAGAAGAGTGAAATGCTTTATTGATTAAATGATTATTCAGGCGATTGAACTAATCAAAGAGCCCATCGACCGCCATGAATTACATTCTTCGTAGTAGACAGCTTGTCGGGAGAGGCAGCCACCCAGACCCCTCTAGACTCACATGCATCCAACCCATTTCCAACAATAAACAACCCAGGCAGAGGTACCTTTGGGTATCCCACCACTTGGAGAGGGGAAGCTTGTCTTGGGATTAAGAATGGAAAGGGGATGGAGTTCCAGGTCTCTGCATCTGTACTCATCACAACAATGTTCTGGCTCCTATCAGAAAATCATAGTTTTCCTGAACCCACAATTGTGCCAGAAAGTCATGCTGCTTTGGGGTATAAGTTTTCTCCTCTCTGCACTCGGACTTTTTATCAAAAGCTGGAGTAGAATTGGGGGTCTCACAGATGACCCAGGAAGGAGAGGAGTGGGTTTCTTGCCATAGTTCAGAGTATTTGTGTGCACATTGGCACAAGGGCCTAATGAGAAAAGGGGGATGTCATACCAGGTCTATGCCTTAGGGTAGAGAGAGGCCTACTGCTCTGCCACATCTACTCAGACATAAGCACACCCTGCTACCCAGTGCCTGGGCCTCTGAGAGACACGGGGGCATTGTGCCAAGAAGACCTGTGAACATACAGTCACCTCAGCCAAATGACCAGGCTAGGCACATGTATACACCCCCTTGAACTCTCTTCCATTGGAGCAGGACCCACAGGACATAGCACTGAGCATACAGTGTGACACATAGACACATACAATGTCAGGCTAGTCTAG